AGTTGTGCTTGAGGAATTCTCGACAAAACAATTGTAGCGGCCCCCCCCACCCCCGTTCTCACCTCTCTTCAGGGTAGCTTCTCCCTTCACTGCCCTGCCCTGCCCCCCCCGCCACACTAGTGGTCAGTGTAGCGTACCCCCTTCCCCAAAATGCCAAACCCCAACCAAGCTCCAAATCAGGATACTCGCCTAGTCTGGCAAGACACACAGATGGCAATATTGCTGTTGGCTTTCTGGGTTTTATGCCTCTTGGGTTACCATCTAAGTTTTATCGTGACAAGGGTGTAAGACTTTCTTATTTTACTGGACTGTAAATTGTAAATTTTCAGACATGGTACCAGGGAGTAACCTCCGGGTTTGAAAAGTGAAGCCAATGCAGAATAGCCTTAAACTTGCATTCTTCCTAATGGCCATCAGGGGGTGACTCCTCTGGTTACAAAATGATGTCCGATTTAATAGAAGTCTATCGATAAACGACTCTACTTCTCAATTGATTTATTCCCTCAGTAAACATTGTAAACATGAGTTTATGGTCTCAATCGCTAGTTTCAAGTCTTCTTAAATACAGCATGATGTTCATTTAGTAAATGATGGTCCTATTTAGAGTATAATAGCAGGGTATGCTTTAGGGCGGGGTTAACACGGTGCCAACATGGCAACCAAGGTGGTGACAGCAAAAATGCTGAACTCTAGGCTTCAAAACGGCAGTCAACAAACCAATAATTGATGTCAGTCACTAAATCCACTTCTTCTATTCAGATTATGTAAGGTACCTGCAACATAGCTCGCTTCATCTTCATCCCAATACTTGCTATATGAGGTACCTTGTGTCTACAACTTTCAAGACTTGAGTATTTTTCAAAATAACTAATTTGGAGTCCGCAAATGTGAAAATTAACCTAGGAGTTACAGCACATTTTAGGTACCAAACCTAATTTACTATAGGAGTTTAAATGTTTTAACAAAAATCAACACTGATTTTTCAGAATTCTTTTAATGGAGCTGAAATCTAGAAAGGGATATTTAACTGATATTTTTTCTCACATACAGCCTTCCTCTTGGAAGATGAACACACTTGCCATTCCAAAAGTGTCTTTTCAACCAGCACTTTACAGCTCAGCCCCAGAAAGCACTTTTGTTTGTGCTCCATTACTTTCTAGACATGCACATCATACCTCAGTTTCTGCAAACCAGATGAACTGTGAACTGGGCTCAACTTGTAGAGCCTTCAAGCTTGGCGCAATTTATGTGATGAAGTCATTCTGAGTTGGCGGCGGGAACATTGTGGCGAGTACCCAGCCGAGCACCCAGCTCAAAGCCAGCCGTGTCCAAAAAAGCTCATCGTCCGTGACTTGGTGTGAGAGCTGACCTCCCGCTACACATCTGCAACTGCCTGGCCCACACTTCGACCTGTTGGGTCTTGTTTGAATGACAGCAGGGTCTGCAGGAAACATCTCAGTCAGCTATTAGCTAACCACCTGCCCCTCTTCCTATAGCCTGGACCCACACACACCAGGTATACAGCAGGAGAGAGAGCAGAGAGAGATACAGAGTGGACAGAGACGGGCTGGAGACTCATCTCTAATAGAATCCATCCATAATCCTCAAATTAAAGGTGATATACAAATAATTTCAACTGTACTATAATGGCTGACAAGGTAAATCCCGTTTAATGTCCATTTCCACAGCTCTAATTACAGTCATGTTGCACTCACAACTCTGCTGTTCGGACTTTCTCCTTTTATTCTACCACCCCTACCATCAAGATGTTTGAAAGTACCCTGACGGACACCTCATCAACACTGATCCACCTAGGAGCCTAGGAGTCTGAGCTGGCTGCGACTGCCAGTCAGATCCTTGGAAGACAATTTCAAGATGACGAAAATTAGGGGGGTGTTGCAAGAAAGGGAGTTGTTTGACCCAAACGTGGTCAAAAGATGGAATCGAGTTGAGGACTGCTAGGAGATGGCAAGCAGTGGAAGCTGGTCAACAGCTTTTTTCCATCAGATGACATTAATTGCATAACTAATAATGACTAAGAAGACATTAGTTAGCGTTTTGGTATGATGGTTGTCTCTTACGGTAGTTTTTTCTTGGGGACCCCAGTCAGTAGTCTTTATGTTGAATACATTTGTAGGATGGGGGTTAAGGAGAAGGTGGAGGCAGCAATGGAGGTGCAGTACAGCAAGCGGTCCCGCCCCTCAAAACAGGCCATCATCATTACAAGAGCTGGGTGCCGCCAGGACAGGATCTTGGCCTCTGCAAGGGACTCGTCCTCATGTCCGAATCCTGAGGAAAGTCCTCATAGTGGAAGTAATAGATCCCTGGGAAGATCGCTTGGCCAAGGCCTTCGAGAGGAAGCTCACCTCTGGTTTATGAATGCGGGCAAGTTAGCAGGAGGGCAAGCTGAATCCTGGTTGAAGTTGGATGCAGGGGCTTCGCAGTCCTTGCCCAGAGCCTACGACAGCCAACACCATAGATGCGGCAGAGAGAGCCTCGACATAGCTGTGGAGCAATAGGAAAACCACAAAGGAAGTAGCTAGCTAGTCACCTGGACACAAAAGTAGGTCTGATCAGCCTCAGCTGTGTCACCTGGAGGAAGGTGTATGATGTCAAAAGACCCAAAACACAAGATGATCCTGCAACATCACTGTAGAAAAGTCGAGGGGAATTAAAATAACAAGTGCATGATTAAAGTATTTCTGTTAAAACGAGGAAGTGAGAGGTATGGTGAATATGATCTGACCCTGTTTTTCTCGGCTACTGATTGAATTGGCACTGTAGAAATGCACATTATCCTGAATGTAACAAGACAATGGAGGATGTTTTGAGTTTGCATTATTCATGGTACAAGGGAAATAAAAGACATGTCGTTAAACAAATAAGCTTGCTCCAAATTAAGACCCGAGTCTGTTTGCAGAAGAGGTTAGTATTCAATTATGGAATGACAGAAAAACACCATTTATATCAACAATTGTGGAATTTTGGATTTCTTTCTTGGACCTCAATGAACAATACAAGGTATGTTCAGCCCTTTTTTATCTTCTACATGCCAATCAAGACATTGCACACTGTAATTATTTTCATTTTGGTAAATTAAAATAAATTTTTAGAATGACTTTTGATTTCATAAAAAAAAGCTAAAAGTGACAAAATAAAATAGGAAAAATAATTTATATATTGACCATAAAAGGTGAAATGATATATCAAGAGCGTCAAATACCGATACCAATGCACAAGCCACCCTTTAACGTCTGTATGAAACGCACCAGACTTTCATGCAACTATAATGTAAAACCATCCGCCTCATTATTAGATGCTCAGAGAAAATGCTCCGGAAGTGTGAACGTAGTATAAAGACCAAAGAAACCTACTCTGTGCGGGAGGAATTGGAGGTGGATTGGTCAAACAAAAGCAGGACTTTCTACCAGGAGACTGCCGTTTTTGTCCCAATGTTATTTTGAAGTTATGTTTTCTGTACTTATGTGACATTTTATTTAGTTTACGTACTTAATTTAAGCCCTACCGTGATGTTTTTCCTAAACCTAAAGTGGTTTTGTTGCCTAAACCTAAGCAAGTTTGTGTTTGAATTCACAACGTTAAGAGTTTGACTCTCTGGGCTACCCAGTGTCGCCAAGAGTCCTGACCAAATGTCAGTATGTGACGAGTTGTGACGAGAAGGTGTTGGAGGATAACATTGAGAGAAAAAGTTATTGGAGCCTATTTTACCCCTGTAACCTCCTGTAGTGCCTCGTCATAGTTCATTGAACCTGTCCAATATGAGCTCCATCAGTGGGCATAGAGTGTGAGTACACAATATGGTGTGGAAAAAGAAATATGATCAAGAAAAGTAATCTGTAAGGGGGGGGGCATGGTCCAAAGCAACAGATAGGATCGATATCTTTTCCGAGGCGGCGCGGACGGGGGCGGTCGTCCAGCACTAGCCTTGGCATTTCACCGCAGTCACATAATCCTCACTCACAGACCTTGAGATGATATCCAGTGGATCAACAGAAACACAGGGATGGAAACAGAGGTGGGCTGAGATGTGTGTGGTGGATGGAGTCGTGTTAAGTATATAGATTATCAGTTCGACAGAAGTTGATTTTTCTCCAGGTGGTTGACGATACACTGCATGTAATTAACGGCATTTGACGTGCACCAGTTGATGCCTGTATCACACAATGTACAGATAAAATGATTGACAGTGCCAATTTATTTTGGTCATCATTAAACCGTCGTCTAAAGCACGGCCAAAATATCACAACGTACAGTGGCAGACAAGGAGGTCTAAAGCCCCCCAAAAAAACAGCAGTTTATCTTGCTGGTTCAGCACAAGTAGCCAATGGAACCACTGATCTGCGGAAGATTGAAAATACAATATGTAGCATTAAAAATTGATATTTCACAAGGGAATGTTATGATTTTTATATATGTATCAGCTTTGTTGGCCATGTATGCGTAGGTGATTCTGATATGCTCCTAATCTGAACCATTGTTTCTAATGAATTCGGAATGGGTTGTAGAACTTCGGCACACATGAACTGCCATAAATTGATTGGTTGAAAGTGACGTTTCTGTATTAATTCCCTGTAAGTGATCAGAGGAAAGAAAAGCCTCTTTTCCCACTGGACAAAAAAAACAACTAACACCACCCACTAACATCTGGCTTTTGTCTGGAGTGGAAACGGTTACAATCAGCATTCGTTGCCGGAACAAATGATTCAGTCAGAAGTAGCGGGTATCTTCTCGGCAGTGATGGAAACATGACACCCGGGTGCACGCGCTACTTTCCCGCCGCAATGCTATGTGATGTGAGTTAAAGGAAATATACGATAATATTATCAACAGGAATTTGGATAATTATTCAAATGTATTAACAAACCAAAAATACAATTAATATGCTCTCCTTAAAGCCACCAGACTCCAGTCAGATAAGTCATTTTTACCTTGCTGGTCATTGAAACACACCTCATACAAACTTGACAGACACTAAATAAAACCCATCAAAACTGTCTTCGTCTTTCCTCTGTTCAAAAAAAAAAAAAATCACCAACTCTGGTTTAAAGGATTGAAAGAGAGAGTGAATAATAATAGGTGTAAAAAAAAAAAAAAACAGAGTAACCATCGTGACATATTCACTGTTTACTAAAACCGTTTCCGGCGTTGAACGAGACACACCACAAAAAGGACAAATTGGCATACTAGTCCACTGGGAATGGGAAGGAGTCTAGCACCTATTTGTAATATCTATATTCAGCAGATGTTTAAAAACATAATTTTAAACTAACATTACATTTTAAAATAATTATTCAGCAATCTCTCAACAATCGTTTAAGTTTTGTAGCAGTATTTTAAGCATTGCCTTCAATGAAAACCTACAGAAAAACCGTACACATCAGAATATTTAAAAACTATGTAGGTTTGATATTTCAAAAAAGGTGTGACTTTAAAGACAAGACACCGAAGACAGTGATTTTCACACACTTCCTCCCCATTTTGTTAAGATGCAATATTCCAGTATTTCTCACCATCATACATGTCTGTCCGAAATGTTAGCACTTCATCATTTTATCTTTTTAGAAATTTGTGTGAAATTGTCAAAATTAGCGTAGAAATTCTGGAGTTATAGCCAAAAATGTGTTTTATTGCAGTGACCTTTGACAACCAAATTCTGATAAATTCAACCTTAAGTCCAAGTGGAGGGTTAAGCCAGATTTTAAGAAATTCCCTCTTAGCGTTCCTGAGACATCTACTTCAACAGAATGAATAGGATGTACGTACATACAGACGGATTAACAAACCCGAAAATATAATGCCTCGGGCCACGGCTGTCACCGGCGCAGGGGCATAAAAATCTGTCTGAAGACAAAACAACATAGAAATTCTCAGGATGTTTAAAAGACCGTTCACAGTGTGAAGCCGGTTTCAGTTCTACAACAAATGTGTAATTACTGCATCATAATTTGTGTCGTCGTATCCTTTGTAAGTTTTATCTCGGCTTGTGCTTATACGACTGGGGTGAAAACCAGGAGCTTTACTGGGTGTGTGCGGGCAGAAGTTATACAGGTTTATCAGTGAGTTGACACCTGGTTTCCAGGAGAAATTGTAATTAACCAGGTCGTTGGTCAGTGAGAGGTAGTTTCCATTATGAGGGGGCGGCAGGGCTGAGGCCCGGCCTGCTATTTCAGCCAGCAAATTGGAGAAATTAATGATGTGGATAATCTGCTGGCTACTCTCAGATCTGAGAGACGCTACAAGGCCTGGATCAGATGAACGAGGCCCCCCATGCATGTTTGCTGACATATTGGATCTGAGTGCAACAGTTTAAATTTTTGGCTGAAAATTAGGCCCTTTTATCAGCTTCTAGTATTATTTATACGGTTTAAATACCAAGCTATGACTGGATTATGGTTAGGTTTTAAGGATTCAAATTCCTTTTAGGGTTAGAGTTAAAAATATTTAGTAAAATGGGTTAGACCTGCTCCAGAACGGCTCGGTTTCTGTCCATGTTGGATGACTCTACAATGATGTGCCTATGTAGAAAGTACTGTGTCCTTGATGTAGGGAAGTTACAGGTGTGAGGTTGGGGTTATGGATGGACACACGTGCATCCGACACAATCCAACAGTTATCAGATGTTGCGATTTTGTATATTGTAAGACACTGGAAAGTAAACACTATTAAAAAAATAAGCCCTTTTGTCAAATAAGCTTCGGAGAAATTTCTGGAGTTTCCCTTTCACGCATGTAGCCCACATCAGGAGATTGTCCGTGTCGTGATGCGGTCACGTAGCCAGTTCGTAATTTGGTCAAAAACAACCAAAAAATATATATAACATAGGCCGTGTCCTGCTATGCGGAAGCCTCGGACGCTGACATTAACCACTGCGCTTTGTTTTTAATAATTCCTGAAGCTGTATGCGGAACAGGCAATCATTTGGTGCGATATGTGATGTTTCCAACTTTGCAGCCAGATGGACGATCACCTGCCTTTCTCCGCTGGACGGGCAGGTGGGTGAAGTCAGGATACTGTTACAGCGCTCTGCATCTGCCTGCCTGTGTGTGTGTGTTGTCAATGGTGTGTGTTATTAAGAGTGTAAACGCGGCTGAGAAATCAAAGGGCTCCTCGAAAGCACCACTACAAAGAGCTGGCTTCTGCTCTCTCAAGCCCATTTCAGTCAGTACCTTTAGGAATATTCTCACACTGGTTTAGTGCTGACAGTGCCGTGGGAACTTTCACTGTTCTATAAGTGTTTACTCTATATCTATAACTTGGACAAAGGTGGTGAGAAATGTAGCGTTACAAACTAGAGTAAGCAATACATTTAAAAGAACTAAAACACAAAATGGGAGATTAGTGTACATGCCAGAGAGAGAGAGAGAGAGAGAGAGAGAGCGAGAGAGAGAGAGAGAGAGCGCGCTGGACAAGCAAGAAGCAAATTACAGTACGGAAAAAAAATGTGTACTTGAATCAATGTTGAATGGTAGTAGTGAGGTGCCGTGTCTCTCACACATCACAGATCTCAAAGTAACGCAGACTACATTTCCCAAAATATAATATAATTATTCCTTTCGAAATCTATTCAGTTGGATTGGAGAGAAAATATAGCGGTAACACTTTCTCCATATCTATAATGCATTATAAACATGCTTATAATGTCCTTATAATCTGCTTTAAGCACTCAAAATATGTATAATGCTTTAATCAATAATATGATTAAATATGCAATAATTATAACACATCAAATAATTTATAACGATTTGTAAGGTGAAGTATAATAATATTCCATAACTGCTGGTGACTCCCTGTTATTTTGTTTTTGTAAGGATCAAAGTGTATTATAATCCCCATAGTTATATATTTTTTTTTAATCATGCATTACAATCACTATTATGATAAACTGTAAGTGGTCATTGGGTGCTTTGAGTGAATAATGAAATTCCTCAGGTATAGTCCGATATAATAAATTACAGACTGGTTATGAGTCACCATAAGTGGTAATTGTTTGTAAAAAAGTATTTTTTTTTTTTTAAATAAATAAATAAATAAAT